CATCCCGGCCCGGGACGGATCACTTCCTGGGCCCGCTCCACCACCGTAGCACGATATTGTCCGCTTTGGGCTTACCATTCCCTCGCGGTTTTGTTTTTGGGAACTCAAGAGCAACTTCCCAGTGGGTCACCCATCATGGGATTGCTCTAGCCCCATTCTCGCTTAACTTTGGAGTTCAGATGGAACCCGAAGCCAGTGAGCTCCCAAAAGGCCTCGTGCTAGGTAAGGATGAGAATATGCATTTAAGGATCGCTCTCCTGGGCGATGTGGGATGTTACAATCCACCCCCCTTAGGGGCCCGATGTCCTCGTCGGCACATACGCGGCCAGGGTTAGGCTCTGATACCAATTGTCACATCCTGGCCCGGGGCGGATCACTTCCCGGGCCCGCTCCACCACCGTAGCACGATATTGTCCACTCTGGACTTACCATTCCCTCACGGTTTTGTTTTTGGGAACTCACGAGCAACTTCCCAGTGGGTCACCCATCATGGGATTGCTTTAGCCCCTTTCTCGCTTAACTTCGGAGTTCCTACGGAACCCGAAGCCAGTGAGCTCCCAAAAGGCCTCGTGTTAAGTAGGGATGGGATATACATATAAGGATCACACCCATGGGCGATGTGGGATGTCACAGTAGTAATTTATATTAATGAGATTTTAAATAAAATCCATAATTAAAAAAAATTATACTTAAATAAAACCCATGATTTGTCATTACATATATTAATGACCTTTTACATACATATACTTAAATAAAACCCATGATTTGTCATTACATATATTAATGACCTTTTACATACAAAAAATTGGTAATTTTTATACGATAGATTTTACATATAAAAAGTTGGTGCATTTTATACAAAAAAAAAAAAGTGATACGTTTTATATAATGGGTACATTTCATATAAAAAAAAAAAGGGAAAATTTGAAATAGGTCCAATTTTATAGACTACCTTTTGAAATAAGTCCAATTTTTAGTGACTTTTGACTTTTGAAATAGTTCCAATTTTTAGTTACTTTGGACCCATTTCAAAAAACCCCTATAAAAAAACCTATGGGTACATTTTACACAAAAGAGATTGTACTTACAAAAAAAAAATATGGGTACATATTACATATAGCAAAGTGGTACATTTTTAAAGACAAATGGGTATATTATTAATAAATTATGGGTACAAATAAAAGGTCAAAAAAATATGGGTAAAAATAAAAGTTTGAAAACTATGAAAACAAAAAGAAATTAATAGATGGGTACTGTGACAACCCGTTCCAAATTTTACGTTTTTATTTTATTTTAAAAGCGTGAATTTACAAAATTGCCCTAGAGGCAAGGACTTTGACTTCCGTTGACCATCGACTCGAGAGATGTGGGCCTTATTCTTTTAGCATATCCTCGTAGTACTTATTGGTACGAACGTATCGGCGAAAGCTGTTTGCGAGTCCGGATTATGATGGTATAGTTACGGACGTTCGAAATTGGTTATTCAAGGTTTAATGTTTATTTAAATTAAACTCCCCCTTGTGGGGAAAGGCCCAATCAGAATTGGGAGAAAGAAAAGGAAAAAAAAAAAAAAAAAAAGTGGGTTTCGTCCACCCGCACCACCGCGGGTGCCCATTTTCCGAGGCCGATTCCGGCCAACTCCGGTGGAGTTTTTCGATGCCACCACCACCATCTTGAAGCTCTCATTCCCCTCTACAAAACCCACCCAAGAACCACCTTGATTAACCATGGTATGAGGCGGTTTGAGGCCACGAAAGTTGACGAAAACCAATGGTGCTCCGGCCACCCTTCTCCATTTTCCGGCAAATCGGCAAAGCGATGGCCGATGCCACCACTTGGGCTTTGTAGCCCATCATCCCAGGAGCAAAACCCAACCAACCTTGACCCCGTTGGACCACCGTAGACGACGAATCGACGTCGGGAAGTTTTAGGCACCCGCCGGCTTCGTGGGAAAAATTGACCATCTTCCGTCCATTTTTGGACTTCGTGGCAGGTATGAAAGTTGCTCCACTCACTGAGATCTTCATTTCTGTGAAGTTTGAGAATTTTTGGAAATAGTTGGATTTTCCGGCGAGCCGGGGCGGCCGACCGCCACCCGCGGCGGCGCGTGGCCAGTGAGCCGCCAATGTTATTTTTAGGCTATGTCAAATGTTTTGAATTCAGTTTTGTCATTTGAATGACGTAGGTTGATAGTTGGAACCTAAATTCGTTACGATACGTTACTTGATAAAAATGTGAATCGATGATCCGACCGTTGGATCGTCACCAAAATTGGATACATTATAATACGTAATATTTAAAGATCATAGGAATTTACGGATCGGGAATCCGACTTACGGATCTTCCTGAATTGGATTTGTAAGTTAGTAAAATAAATGTTCACGGCCACTTGTTTTAGGCAATTGGCGGAGATCTGACCGTTGGATCGTAATGAAATTTTAATATGTTATTCTAGAAATATATTGTGGATCGTTGGGAGTTACGGATTGGAAATCTGATATGCGGATCTTCCGGGTCAAGTTATACAGGGTTGTAAACCCTACCGTCAATCTTTGATCGACGGTTGACTTGTGGTCAATAGGTCTCAAACTATTTTAGAATGTCGTTGAGGTTGTGTTTTATGTGAATTACATATTCTACGGATAAGAGTTTTGAGATGTGATTTGATAATTGGTCACAGGGACCTATCATTCAGGACGCCTCGATGCGTGCGCTAGAGAATCATAGCGTGGACTCCAGGTAAGTGGATCTTTTCCTTTTTATCCCACATATTATTGAGAGTTCTATCGACACCTTTAAATCGATTAGCCGTATTACTTTCATATATAATTATTGTGAATGCTTGAAGTACTATATGAACTACGAATGGCTTGATCCCTGTTTAGGGTACGTAGGCAGTCTAACGAGACGTTAGATGCAGCCATAAAATATTTGAGACAAAAGCCTTGCTTGGGAAATTGAGTAATGCGAAGGAAATTGGTAAAGGCAAGTTTTAGTTTTATGAATTAGATAGTTAAATTAGAGTTAATTGGATTGTCATGGATAATTATCCTTGAAAATAAGTAGTTTGGGAGTAGGGCGTTATTGATTGTACACTTCACCCTATATTGTTTATAATTGAAAATGCTATGACATGGTTGAGTAGTAGATTGCATCATGATATATCCATATGTATATTACTTGCATATAATTATTGGGAATGCTTTCAAGTGCAAAGGTGAACTCAGGACACCCAGGTAAGTTCAGGTGAGTTTATGGTACTAGTTGAATCGATTGCGTTATAGCATGATTACAGTTATGAGTTAGGCAACTTCGATACTGTCGTACTGGTTGCCATGAGTTGCACATGCTATATTGAGATGCATTGAGAGCTCATAAACCTGCACCCCGGTGTTAGTGTTCCCGCCTGTGGCCAGGGCACAGTCCTTCACGTGATGTTCACCTCCCGCGCCTTACGCTCACCTTGGATCCAAGGTAGGTGCACAGTCCTGTCGTACAGACCACTTTAGGTGGTTCCGACTCGTAGGTGACCCGCGATTATTCGCCCAGTCTTCACGTGATCGTAGCACTTAAGCGCATTTATTTACACCCAGGCTTGTCGTACAGACCACTATAGGTGGTTCCGACTCGTGTGCAGGTATACTTATATGCTAGCCAGGATTGACGAGATATGGATAAGTCGTATAGGTCACTATAGGTGACTCCGACTTACATGCTAGCCAGGATTGATGAGAAGTGGATAAGTCGTACAGGTCACTATAGGTGACTCCGACTTACATGCTATCCAGGATTGACGAGATGTGGATAAGTCGTACAGGTCACTATAGGTGACTCCGACTTACATGCTAGCCAGGATTGACGAGATGTGGATAAGTCGTACAGGTCACTATAGGTGACTCCGACTTATATGCTAGCCATGATTGATGAGATATGGATAAGTCGTATAGGTCACTATAGGTGACTCCGACTTATATGCTAGCCATGATTGATGAGATATGGATAAGTTGTACATGTCATTTTAGCTGACTCTGACTGATATATCACTTTGTATTGATTTAGTTCATTCGGCCTACTTATTAATGTATGGTGGATGTGATGGAAAATCGTGGTTTTGGTCATTTCCGAGTATGGTTTGGATGTATGTATATATGTTGTACTATCTTATGGAAGACGATACGGGTTTTACATTTAGGGGCATTACTTTTTGAGAGGTAGTAAATTTGGGAAGCTTGGTTTTATTGCTTACTCACACCTTCTGTTTGGTGCCCTCCAGGTTTTAGCTGCTGAGTTTGTATCGACAAGAATCTGTGGTGAATCTTAGTATTGATGGATATTTTTGAGGGTATGATTCTTACTCACATTACTGTACCTTACTTATGCTCTGACATCGCGCGTGAAATGGGTTCGCTCCCACTCGTAGCGCACTCTGGTATTTAGACACTTTTGGAATCAAATTCATTCACTTTTTATACACTATCACATTTTATGGCTTCGTCACCTTCCAGGTGTCGGCCAGCACAGCTCGATTCAGGGTCCAAGTGGACTTTCTGGGTCGGGGTGTGTCAGGTACAAACCAAAATTGAATAGAAAATTGGCTCAATTTAAAAAATAAAGGGTTGCAAACTAAAATGGGTACAAACTAAAAATAAAAATATATGATACAAAATTTAGCCATAAATATAAATATATCAAATATAATGTTTCTAACACTAAATAAATAATTTAGAAATAAAATTTAATTATCTTGATATGTAAAATATTTTATTATTGAAATAATTAATGATGTTTATTAAAACCAAGGGATCTTGATTAAAAATTGAAAAAGAATAAGATTTGAATCAATGGAGTTGAAAAAAAAAAGGGATGAGACCTAATTTCTCATAAAAAGAAATACAACCAGAACCGTAGTACTGAGTGGCCCGTACTGATCTTTTAAATTTGTTTCTTCTAAATTTTGTCTGCTTACTTTTCGCTAAAAGCTTCCTTCCCACGTGCCCTCCCTCTCTGGCGTATTTGTGAACCTTATGCGCCTCCTAACCTCCACAACCTCTCTCTCCCCCCAATCCTCCTAAAGCATAACGCCAACATACAACCCCAAGAACACAGATTGGGGATAACGAAACTCCGAGGATTCAACCCAAATCGACGAAGATAACATCTTCGGAGTTTCGTTTATCCAATTCTATCTCTCGGGTCGGATTCTGTTCCAGCATCGATTGCCCATCTCTCATTCTCCAGCTCCAAAACGGTGGGTCTTTTCTGCTATCCTCTCAGCTGCTTTTACATTCCATAGCAAAACAATGCTCTCATGCTTCCAAGTTCGAATTTTTTGATTCGTTTGTGATATGGGTACCTTGTGTTTTTGCTCAGAAGTGGATTTTTCGTGTAATAATGTATGATGGTAGCTGAAATTTGTAGGGATTATGAGGAAAAGTTGCCTAATTATGGTAAAAAAAATCAAAATTTAGGGGATACTTAAGCGTTGTTATTGTGTACGTAGCTAAAAGCTCACATCTTTGTGATGAAATTCAATTTTTTGTTACCATTTTTCAGGTTAAAGAGCCATACGCCTCGGCCCGGAGTTGAACAGACTCAGGAGCAGTAGGTTTTAGGTTAATGTGGTAAATTAGATGTGCTGAGAGTGATGAGACTTTATCTCCCATATCAAATTTCGGGTCTGGTTTTCTTTGGGAGGGTGATTGAATCAAGGGTATTTTACATAAGGAGCTAAAATGCGGTCCGGGATACTTCCCAGGGTGAACACTGCTGTATGTTCTAGTATTTGGAGAGTGATTGGCGGGAGCAGGCCAGGGAATTCGAAAACTTTTCTACCTTGTCGTGGGAAATTCTTTTCTCGGAGTTCAGGGTTGTCTTGTAGTTTACCGTATTCAACCCTTTTGATATCAGACGCAACTAGACATAGTTCCAGTCCTCTGCGTAAGGGAAAATTTATGGCTGCTTCAAGTTCGGCACCTGTCTTTGGAGATGTTTATGTTGATGACTTAATTTCAAGTTGCAGCAATTCATTAGACTTGTCAAAACCTACGGGTGTTTATTTTAATGATAGACGGCAGAGCAGTTTCCAGAAAGCTAGCTTGAGTTTGAGAAAAAAGGAATCATTCAACAGCCATCTGATCTCTGTGCATGTTGGTCCTTGGTTGAGAAATTTTCATACCACATCTTCTATGTGCTACGCTACTGGTGCTGCTCATAATGTGACATTTGATGGAAACTCCAATGATGAACAACCTGCAAATTCCACCATTTTGTCTGACCAGTATGTGCTCTCATCTGTTGTTTACTCTGCCTCTTTTGTTGTTTGGCCTTCATTTTCATTATCTTAGAGTCTTTGGTGTGTTTTCATATGCTCCACAATCATGGATTCAATTCTTTTTGTTTGGAAAGGAATTAAGGGTTATCTTCTGTGCACTTGTGTGCTCACTTGTTCGTTTATTTATATAGAAAAAAAATATGAACTTGGCAAGTCCCAGTAGGTAGAACACACGGGCTTGATTAGTGTTTACTTCTTTTGAATTGAGCACGAACAATCTCAAACCAATATAGGCGATTGGTGTCCTTGGTGCTTGTATATATAGCAAATTAGAAAACACACCCCCACAACAATAAATTTGATATAAAAACATTTCAAGAACTCAATTGGGGAAGACCCCCCTTAATTATCCACTTGTCATGTTCTAATTAATTCATTGTTGCAAAATTCCTGTACTGCTCTTCTACCATTGCAAAGTAAGAAGGGTGTTAATCTAAAGCGTTGGGTTTGAAGTTTTTTTCTCTAAAGTGTATTCTTATCAAGGGCTTATCTGTGAAAAGGCCTTTTTATGTATATTGCTTGGTTTCATTTTCAGACCAAAAGCTCTGAAGCTGCTTTCAGGATCATGTTACCTGCCACATCCAGATAAGGAGGCGACAGGAGGAGAGGATGCCCATTTTATTTGTGAAGATGCACAAGCAATTGGTGTAGCAGATGGTGTGGGTGGATGGGCAGATGTAGGTGTCAATGCAGGATACTTTTCTCGTGAACTTATGTCTCATTCAGTGAGGGCTATTCAAGAGGAGCCTGAGGGCTGCTTTGACCCTGCCAGGGTATTGGAGAAGGCCCACTCATGCACCAAAGCAAAGGGTTCTTCAACAGCTTGCATCATTGGCCTAACGGAAAAGGTTTGTTGTTTTCAGTTTGACTAACCATTCCTGCCGACCACTAAAATTTATTGTTGGGATGCTTTTTTCATTTTGATTATTTAAGAAAGATGTGATCTGGTTTGTAGAGACAATCATGTGTGCCTGCCTTATACTTCTGAAATAAATTTACAGAAATGATCTTAGTGTTTAGTGTCTATCCATTACTGTATGCAAATGAGGGTTGGGAATATGTCAAGGAAGAACGTAATTACTTACTTTAACTGGACTTAATTATATAACGGTTCAAGAGTCTTGTCACTGTCATAGACCATACCTGCTTTGTAGAAAACCACAAATTGACGAACACCACATAATTACTTCCTTCAATTGACCGTTGGCTTGGCATGTTAAGTTGCAAGCCTTACTTGTATATAAGTGAAAGTATATAACAGCATCGAGTGACCTTGAAATATATGTATAGTAGAGATCAAATATAGGCTGGAGATGCCCAGCCCTGGTGATTCAAACTTGAACAGGATGCATGATTAAAGTTGTAGTTCATGAATTAGAACAATATTTTTCCTGGTCTGCAAGATTACTTGAGTTTGTTTGTTTCGTGCAGTTTGAATATTTGGTTTCCTGAGAGTAATAAGCCAGGAAACGTTTACATATGGTAAAAATGAGCGCGTTTCTCACTTGTTTCTACTTCTAACAGGGACTACAAGCTATCAATCTTGGGGACAGTGGATTCTTAGTTGTTCGAGATGGATGTACCGTCTTCCAATCCCCCGTGCAGCAACATGGCTTCAATTTTACATATCAGCTGGAAAGTGGCAGTGGGGCTGATTTACCAAGCTCTGGACAGGTCAGTCAATTATTGAGTACCATAATAGTTGTCACTTGCATAACCAAAGTAAAACTCAGCCTCCCCTGAATGAACTTGCTTTGACTACATACTTTCTAAAATCGCTGCTTCCGATATACTTGCAGTGGAGAACTAGCCTTAAAAATTTTTGAAATCGACGTGAGCTTAAAGGTTTCTTATCCCAATCACTCTTACTTTAGATGTGACGTCAACGAAAATGTTACAACGTGTCACGTTCCCATTGTAAAATTCCTTGACCTACCAGCATCTAATTGCGACTCAACTTGCACCAGGTATTTTTGATTCCTGTTGCCTCTGGGGATGTCATCATAGCAGGAACGGACGGCTTGTTTGACAACTTGTATAACAACGAGATTACTGCTGTTGTTGTTCATGCGGTAAGAGCTGGCTTTGCACCACAGGTAACTGCTCAGAAGATAGCAGCTCTGGCGCGCCAGCGAGCACTGGACAAGAACAGGCAGACGCCATTTTCAACGGCTGCTCAAGAAGCAGGGTTCCGTTATTACGGAGGCAAGCTTGATGACCTTACCGTTGTTGTGTCCTATGTAACTGGCCCCACTAAGGTGTGAGTGAGTCTTGTAATCCGGGTGTAGAGAACCCATTTCGGTTGTAAATCTGTTCTTTACATCTGTTTGTAAGGTGGCTGATGGAGCTGAGAAGCTCATTACTCTTGATTTTCCATGAAACCCACCGAGAGCTGTAATTCCATGGGTTTTATCGATTGCTATCTGAGATATGATTTTCATTAGTGTCAAACATTATACATTTTCACTTTAAATAAGCCCCTTTTTAGAAATCTAAAGTGTAATTCAACAAACTATTTTTCTTTGAAAAGGACGATATTTACATTAATCCAATTTAAAGTACGTGGAGGAGGATGATATTTTACTTTAATTTATTTCAACGAAGAGGAATTCAAACTTACTCTTACGGATTATCATTTGTTCTAGTCAATTTGACTATACGCTAAATAGCACTTACTCTTACGGTTTATCATTTGTTCTAGTCAATTTGACTATACGCTAAATAGCATGTGATCAAATATACTTTAAACAAGTTATGTTTCTTATGAACAAGTTAATGACTTTTATCTTCTATTTTTCCTCTTATCTAAATTAAAGTAAAATTTGTTTTGGAGGCCATAGAAGTTTATTACATTAAAAAACGTACCTAAACTTGAAACATAGGAGGCAGCAAAAGTTATTATTCTATTAACAAAACATGCAGTTTCCCTAAACTTGAAACATAGGAGGCAGCAAAAGTTATTATTCTATTAACAAAACATGCAGTTTCCCAAAAAAAAAAAAAAAAAAAAAAAAAGAACAGACGTAACTGGAGAAACTAGATCTCAGTTAAACCTTTAATGCACTCAGATACCTCCTTCCTTCATCCGCATTGAAGCCTCCGCCTCCACCCTCTTGCTCCTCTGGTTGTCCTGCTCTGCCTTGCCTTTCTTGTTGTTGTCTTCGAGCCTCTTCCTGCTCCCTCTGCGCATCTTCCTCTCGCCTTTCCCATTCCTCTTGTTGCCTCCTCTCCCTCTCTCTTTCTTCCTCTTGTCTTCTTTCATCGCCTCCTTGCCTGCCCTCCTCTTCTCTCCTTCTTGCTGCTGCTTCTTCTCGCTCCCTTGCAGCTTCTTGTTCTTCTCGCTCCCTTGCCGCTTCTTGCTCTTCTCTCTCCCTTGTTGCTTGCTCTTCTCGCTGTTTTGCAGCTTGCTCCTCTCTCTCCCTTGCTGCTTGCTCTTCTTGTTCCCTTGCGGCTTCCTCCTCTCTCTCTCTTGCGGCTTCCTCTTCTTGTTCCCTTGCGGCTTCCTTCTCTCTCTCCCTCACCGCTTCCTCCTCTTGCTCCCTCGCGGCTTCCTCCGCTCGCTCCCTCGCCGCTTGCTCTTCTTCTTGTTTCCTTGCTTCCTTCTCCCTTTCCTCTTCCTCCCTCTTCTTAGCTTCCTCCTCCTCCCTCTTTCTGTCTTGTTCCTCCTGCTCTCTCTTTCGAGCCTCCTCTTCCTCCCTCTTCTTAGCTTCCTCTTCCTCCCTTTTCTTTTCAATCTCTTCCAACATCGCTTTCTCCTCTTCTTCAGCACAAGAAGTACAATCTATTATAAACGAGTCAGCCTGTGCAGACAAAAGCTGATCAATGGTTGTGCTGGTAACATTAAACGACGCCGCCAAGACTAGTTTGTCCAAAGTCTGCAGAACCGAGTATTTTCCGGCCAAAAACTGAGGATAGTTTTTCTTTTCTGTTGTGCTAAACCCCATGAACACAAGAGAGTCATTGTTAAATGACATCTGAGCCATTGGATGGAACCTAGGCACAGAAAATACATCTCCTTCATGAACCCTAAAACGCATGTTTCTGCACTCCGATTTCTTTGCTTCGGTGCTTGAACAAACCACTCTAACCATCCCGTGCCCTTGTAGTACTACTGTTATCTCAGTTGCCCTTGGATTCCAATGAGGCCCCATCATTGACCCCTTAAATAAAAAAATAAAAAAAATGAATAAAAAAAAAAAATCCACATTAATTAAAATTAAAACGTTCGACTGGTTATACACTCTAATTAACATTAGATCAAAGACAGACCTTTGTTAAATTCACCATGAAAAAACCAATGTTCGATCCCTTTAACAAGTGGGTGTTTTTCTTGCTCACAGTTAGGCTCCAACCATTGCAATTCTCGAAATCCGGATCCTCGTCAAAAATATTATATGTTGTTGTTTCCTTCTTCTTCTTACTGTTGAATGCAATGCCATCATTGCCTAGTAGAAACGTTTTCAGGAATCGAGCCTCCAAATCCCAGAAAGTTTCTTTCTTTGTTGGAATTGCGTGGACAATGGCGGATTGGTCCGTTCCATTTACTATTGATTCTATCACTTCCTCAGAAACCTAATAATTAACAACCATTTTGCATGAAACTAAAAATGCTTTTTTCTGATGACATAATGAGAACTTCCCATTGTTTGATTCTGGGTTGGAGTGGCTCATACCTTAAAAGCTGACTGAAGCAATTTCGGATCAAATCCTCGGACCAGGTCCCTAATGCTGGAGTATGGCCCTACTGCTGGATCCTGCACAAGCTTTGTAGTCATAATAAAAACTTTTTTTTGATAAAAATGGATGAAAATGATCTAACAATTTATGGTAAATTCAGAAAGTAACAAAGAAAAAGGATCAGAACTAGGTCTTCTTACATATAAGTCATCATCAGAGTTGCTTGTAAAGATTGCATTAATTCTCAGCTTCTGGCGCTCAGTCTCCAAGTTACTTTGTACAAAGAAAACAGAGCCTGGGGTGAGCCTATAGAGATCACCTCTCTTTATATCCACCCTCCTAATTTTATCATCATCAGTCCAACTCAACCTCCCACTTCCTAACACCCAAAAAACAACAATAAGAAAACCAACTAAGATAAAATAAATTGTAATTTTATCATAATAAAACTATTTATACCGGCAAAACTGGCACACTTATCAATACTCTTAATATATACTCTCTAATAGAGATGAGTGGTGCTATTGTATAGGCTCAAAATTAAGGAAAATTTCCTTCACAACGTAAAAATGAATTAAGATGCTTTCATCAGGGTTTTAGATTCATAGTCGGACAACAGAAGCATTTCTTGGACTTGAAATTTGGACCATTAATCAAGTTTCAGATTCGTAAGCATTTCTTAGATTGCGAATTTGGACCATTTGTCAAACTTTGTGATTCACAATCGTACAACATAAGTACATGCATTTCTTGGACCATGAATGTGAACCATTTCATCAAGGCTTCAGTACATGCATACAGCGTAAACATTTATCAAGATGGTGAAATATGGTAATTTATGTTTCAGATTCACAGGAGGGCAACATATATATAAAAGCAATTCCCAACGCAATAAAAGGGTAAATATGGTAAATGTCGGTTTCATATTCACAATCAAACAACATAAACACTTCTCTAACAACACCAGTCTGGCTCCTAGTAATCATTTGATGGAATACATGTTACCTGTGTTGACATAGAAAACCATGTATGCATGCAGAAGAACAGGAAGGAAGAGTGAGTTGGGTTCCAAAGTAATGAACTGAATATGGTAGGGTTTCCTGTGTCCGTCATTCACATCAATGGACCAGACCTCTCCGTACTCAGTCGAAACCAGCGACCGCCGTTGATCTTTCTTCACCAGAGACCCAGCCGGAGCAGCACCGTCGCCGCCTGAACCAATTTCCCCTTCATTTTTCAGTGCATTTGCTGCATGCAAAGACACAGAAACAGAAAGAAGGAAGAAGAAGAAGAAGAAGAAGAAGAAGATGAAAGCTTTTCTGAACATTTTGTTGGATTTGCATTGAATTGAAAGGAAGGGGGATCTAAATAGAAGAAAATTGGGTTTAGATAAACGAGAGAGAAGGCGTTCCAATCCGGAAAGAAAGTAACGTTGTCTGTTTGCATGGGCACGTGGCCGTTGATCGAGGCACGTGGCATGTGATTAGGTCTTTCGTCTACCCGTGGAGACCATGCATTTGTCGATGGAACACTGACTTTTTTTTTGGTCAAAGGATAGATTTCATTCCCAAAAAATTATACAACCAAAGAGTATATAGTTTCTTTGAGGAAAAAAATTATGGAACCCATGAAAGCAATTAGCTTATTGAAACAACAATGGGGGAAATTTGAGGAAGCCAAACAACAACTTAGAGCCATTGGTGGATGAGGTGGATCGGCAACAAAAGGTTAGTAATGGGGAATGGGGATCCTTCGGGTTGGATGAGACCTCCCTTCGGGAATATGAAAGTAAATTGTGATGGTGCGTGTGGTTAAAGAAATCCGGACGAGGATGGAGATAAAATTGTTATTCTAGGGTTTAAAGTGTTCTACTTTATTCTTCTCACATAGAGGGTGATACATAGTTATACAAGTTCTTATGAAATAGGAAATAGGAATCCCAATTATGCAAGGATATCCATTACATGATTTCATACCCAAAATATATCTGTATTCCTTAATCTCAAAGTTGACTCACGCCAACACTCCCCCTCAAGTTGGTGCGTAGATATCTCATAGGCCCAACTTGTCAAGTAAGTCTCGAAACACTCTCGCTAATACTGCATGAGTTAGTACATCGGCTAACTGTTCTTCAGACCTCATATATGGAATGTCAATCAACCTGATATCTAACTTCTCATTGATAAAATGTCTATCCACTTCAACATGTTTTGTGTGATCATGTTGAATCGCATTATTACCTATCTCTCTTGTAACTTGATCATCGTAGTAGAATGACATAGCTCCCTGTGGTTTGAATCCTATTTTTGTGAGAAGAATCCTTAGCCACAATAATTCGCAAATCCCATGCGCCATACCCTGGTACTCTACCTCTATCGTGGACCTAACTGGTCGTTTTGTTTTTTGCTTCTCTAAGTTACAAGATTTCCTACTACAAAAGTGAAGTAGCCTAACGTATAGCATCTATCAGTAATATTCCTAGCTCAATCAACATCTGTATATCCTTTTGTCTCCATATGCCCATGTTTCCTGAAAATCAACCTTTTGCAAGGTGCACCTTTCAAATAACTCAATATTTACATCACTGCAACCATATGATCCTCACTAGGAGAGTGCATAAATTGACTTACCACACTAACAACATATGCAATATCTGGCCTTGTAAGAGATAATAAATCAACCTTCCTACCAGCCTCTGGTACTTTTCCTTGTTTGCAGGAACTTGATCCGGGTAAATTGCTAGATGATAATTCTGCATGATAGGAGTTTCTGCTGGGTTGCATCCCAACATCCTATTTCAGACAAAAGATCTAGTACATAATTCCGCTAAGACAAGTAAATACCATCACCAGAACGAGCAACTTTAATTCCCAAGAAGTATTTTAAGCCTCTTAGATCTTTCATCTCAAACTCCGAAGAGAAATGCTCCTAGAGTCTTCTCATCTCCTCTATGTCATCACGTGTAACCACCATATCATCCACATATATTATTAACAAGGTGACTTTACTTTCCTTGCATTTGATAAATAGGGTGTGATCTGCATTCCCCTGTCGGTAGCCATATTTCTTCATCACATCAGTGAATCTTCTAAACCAAGCCCTTGGTGACTGTTTGAGTCCGTAGAGAGCTTTTCACAATCTACATACTTTGCCTGCTACATTTTGCACTCCGTACCCGAGAAGAAGATCCATGTCTCCATGTAAGAAAGCATTTTTTAGATCACACTGTTTCAATGGCCAGTCAAAGTTAGCAGCTAAGGATAAAAGAACTCGAATAGTATTCATTTTCGCAACAAGGGAAAATGTTTCAAGATAATCGACTCCAAATGTCTGTGTGTACCCTTTTGCTACCGATCTTGCCTTGTATTTGTCTATGGTTCCATCTGCTTTGTGTTTGATCGTAAACACCCATTTACATCCCACCGGTCTCTTCCCTTGTGGTAGTGACTCCACACTCCAAGTTCCATTTTTCTGCAAAGCTTCCATTTCGACATCCATGGCTTTTGTCCACCAAGGATCTCGCAAGGCCTCTTCTACTTTAGTTGGAATCTTGATTCCATCCATTTTATTCACCAAGGCTTGATACTTAGGTGACAATCGATGAGTAGACACGTACTTTGCAATGGCGTATCTAACTTTTCCATCCGGAGAATACCTGTCTGGTGGTTTCCCACGATTTTGTCTAGGAGGTAACACATAAGTACTATCAATGTTGGTCAAATTATGGGTTACATCATATTGTGAATAATGTACCTTATGGATATCCTCGGGGCCATGGACGTGTACCATTGGAGGAGGGTTATTTTTTGATGTGCTTGGACTGTTAGTAATCTTTTCAACTTGCTGTTGTGGCTCGGTGAAATTCTGCCAATGTGTAGTGGCTTGTTCTGGCTCATTTGCAGGCTCGGCGACATGCTGTTTAGTGGGCAGCTATGTAGTTTTGTTGACTGGCGTTGGTAGACCCAAATTGGGCTCACTCATACTGGGCTCACACGGACTAGGAAACTGGAGCTGCTGCTGGACTTCACGCTGGCAAGGAGGTTGTTATCTTGCCCGTTTGGGATATCAAACCAACTATAATCTTCGCATATGTTCGTCTCCCCCTGAAGACTATAGTGGGTTTGATCAATGATAAAAAAACATCTCATTTTCGGAAAATGTAAATCCATAGTGACGTACATATGCCTGGTTTGTGGATGGTAACACCTATAACCTTTTTGTTGGCCATTAAATCCCAAAAACACACATCAAACTGTGCAGGGGTCCAATTTGCTTCGTTGATTTTTGTGAAGGTGCGCATAGGCCACACACCCAAATATCCGTGGTGACAATTGTAGGAAGGATGGTAGAGTCACATGGTCAGCAAAAACTTCCATAGGGATGCGAAAACTATGTACTCTATAGGGCATTTGGTTTATGAGATAAACTGAGTAGGTGATAGCATCTGCCCAATACGAGTGAGGTGCATAAGCACCGATAAGAAGTACTCAAGTGGTTTCCAAAATATGCCTGTTTTTACGTTCCGCTATACCATTTTGTTGCGGAGTTTGTGGACAAGTAGTCTTATGAAGAATGATGTAGCTCTTGAAAAATTTAATAATGTTCCGCATTGAGATATTCGCCACTGTTATCTGATCGGAGAACCTTAATGGGAAGAGAACACTGATTTTCAACCATTCAGCAAAACTGTCGAAAAATTTGGCTTACATCACTTTTATGTTTCATGGTATAAAGCCATGTCATTCTAGTGTAGTCATCCACAAAGATAACAAACCAACGAATTCCGTAGTTAGTAGCCATTAGGGCGGGTCCCCACACATTAGAGTGAACTAACTCGAAATGCATTGTTATTTGATTGAAACTCAAATGATAAGAAGTACGATGACTTTTTGCAAGAAGGCAATCGTTACACTGAAATCAGAGTCTGAGACGCCACTAAATAGAGACGGAAGTAATTTTTTCAAATAACCAAAAGAAGCATTGTAACATCCCACATTGCCCAGGGGAGTGATCTTAAATGTATATTTCCATCCCTACCTAGCACGAGACATTTTGGGAGCTCACTGGCTTCGGGTTCCGTAGGAACTCCGAAGTTAAGCAAGAAAGGGGCTAGAGCAATCCCATGATGGGTGACCCATTGGGAGGTTGCTCATGAGTTCCCAAAAACAAAACCGTGAGGGAATGGTAAGCCCAAAGCGGACAATATCGTGCAACGGTGGTGGAGTGAGCCCGGGAAGTGGTCCGCCTTGGGTCGGGATATGACAAATTGGTATCAGAGCCTAACCCTGGTTGCGAGTGTGTCGACGAGGACGTCGGGCCCTTAAGGGGGGTGGATTGTAACATCCCACATCGCCCAGGGGAGTGATCCTTAAATGTATATTTCCATTCCTACCTAGCACGAGGCCTTTTGGGAGCTTACTGGCTTCGGGTTCCGTAGGAACTCCGAAGTTAAGCGAGAAAGGGGCTAGAGCAATCCCATGATGGGTGACCCACTGAGAGGTTGCTCGTGAGTTCCCAGAAACAAAACCGTAAGGGAATGGTAAGCCCAAAGCGGACAATATCGTGCTACGGTGGTGGAGCGGGCCCGGGAAGTGGTCCGCCCAGGGTCGGGATATGACAAGCATGCCCTAATTGACTATGCCATAACCAAATTGTCTTATTTTTATTATTGTGACCACTGCTCAAATGATTCACTCGGCTTGCTGACACATCATCCATATAGTATAACCCTCTTCTCTTGGTATCACGCCTAATTATTGCCCGTGTTTGGATATCCTGAAGTAGGCAAAAAGTGGGAAACAGTAGTTCAACACAATCTAATTGCTTGGTAACTTGACCAACATACAGTAGATGATTCGATAATGATGGAACTAGTAGTGTGTTGTGGATAGACAAAGATGGAGTAAGGGAAATAGAACCTGCTCCCGTTATAGGAGCAACATCACCGTTGGTTGTGACGACATTCTCTTTAGGCGGGACATCACATGATAAAATAATGATGCATCATAGGTCATATGGTCAGTAGCCCCAGAGTCTATTATCCAACCAGAGTCCAGTGTGGTGGATGCCATTAAAGCAGTACCCATTTTTCCTGAATCTTCAGATTCGTCACTTATTGAAATTTGTTTAATTAGGGACAACATTAGACTGATGTCCTTATCTCTGGCTGCTGCATCCTTGATGTGCTCCAAGTCATGATCTGAAGTCGTGCTACCCTTGGGCCCAAACTAACTTGTTGCAACAACTACTACAGGCCCTACTTTAGGCCCACTTGCTGCGATAGCAGCCATGCTGTCTTCGTCGACCATTGGAATTTTTCCAGTGAGGTAGCCATACTTGCCAAGTCCGAAAGCATTAACCTCTATCATCTTCGACTAGACTTCAAAGT